AAAAAAGAAAGTAACTGTCTAGAAAAGAATGATGGCAACATATGTACAAATATGCCAGATACAATTGATGTATGGATTGTAATAAGCATTGTAAGAGTTCTCAATAAAATGTCTAAAAATCTTAAAATAAATACCTTGATTAATTTAAAAAACATAAAATAAAATAATGCTACAATAAAAAAATTAGTCTTGAAAATCCTCAACAAAAAAAATGAGCTGAAAGACTCAGTTCATACACGAATATATACAGTATGTGGGAAGTTGAGAAGAGGGAAGAAAAGAGCCAAAATTATTTAAATAATTTGATGAAGTGCCTTGGAATGGAGGGAAAAAAGAATAAATGAAAAGCAATATAAATATAATCTTGCCAGATTTCGGACAATTAAACATCGTCAGTGTGGATATATGTGCTTAAAGACTAGGACATCACTCCACCTCAGACTCACTGAAAAAAAGGCAGCAAATATTGAGTGATATATATATCTGATAAGACATTTTAAAAGATTCAAATCAGATTATCACAAATTTTTTCTAGTTAAAATATTCTACAAAGAAGCTTCAAAAAGTTCACGGAAAAATTTTACAGTGTATTTTAATTCCATTTTCTGCTTAACATTTTGAAGTCCCTTAGATATGTGTGCATATATAAATATTTATAAATATGTTATGGTTAAGAGCCAAAATTTTAAAAAAATATTTTTATGCTTTTGTTTTATTCATAGACTATCAGATGAGTTTAGATATGATTATGAATGAAGTCCAACTAATTTCAAATACATCTTCTGCTACACTGAAGTTCTTAATATTGTAAAAACATTTTTTGACAAGTCAATGTTCCACTAAACTTGATATTTATATCAGTGCATAAAACAAACGTTTTTAATGGGGATTTTTTTAGATTCATTTATGGTAGTATTCACAATACTAACAAATGCTTCATCACTGACAGAGTGAACTTTACTTTGACTCATGAATTTTATTGAAAAAAAAAGTACCATTATTAGGATTAACTTAACTTCTCTTAGATGCAGACTATGAGAGTAAAATAAAACTGACATGAGTTAAGTGTCTGCAAAATTTTCGTTCTGTTAATAGAGCCACCACATCCTAAGCATTGCTTTAATTTCCATAAAGCATAAGAAAAACTCAATAGAAAAAGAACAAAATCAAGTTAGTAGGGTATTCCCAAGAAGTCCTAGTGGTTACAAGAAAAGGTCAGCAGTTTGAACCCACCAGCTGCTCTAAGGGAGAGAGATGAGGTTTTTTGCTCCTGTAGATTTACAGCCTCAGAACCCTACAGGGGTAGTTCTGTCCACAGGGTCCCTATGAGTCAGAATTGACTCAATGGCAATGACAGAGCATCTTTGATTTAAATGGAAAGTCATGTTCCAAAGATTGGTCAACAAGCTTCTTGAAGGTGCATATGCTAAATTATTATCTTTCAGCAACCAAAAACCAAATTCACTGCCATCAAGTTGATGCTGACTCACAGTAACCCTACAGGACAGAACTGCCCCTGTGAGTTTCTGAGACTGTAACTCTTTATGGGAGTTGAAAGCCCTGTCTTTCTCTCTGGGAGCAGCTGGTGGTTTTGAACTGCCGACCTTGTTGTTAGCAGTCCAACATGCAGCTACTATATCACTAGGGCATAGACTTCTTTAAATAGCTATTATTTTTATTAAGCTTTTAATTTTGGGACAATTACAGATTCATTGGAGCTGTAAAAAAAGAATTCAGAGAGCAGATTATCTATTAACCAGTCCTTTCTAATGGTAACATCTTACAAAACTATAGTATAATATGGGTCACTGAAGACAAATGGGTGCATAAGCAAATGTGGCGAAGAAAGCTGATGGTGCCCGGCTATCAAAAAGTATGGTGTCTGGGGTCTTAAAGACTTGAAGGTAAATTAGCAGCCATCTAGCTCAGAAGCAACAAAGCCCACATGGAAGAAGCACACCAGCCTACGTGATCACAAGATGTCGAAGGGATCAGGTATAAGGCATCATCAGAACAAAAAATCTTACCATAGTGAATGATGGGGGAAGGCAGAAGGGAAAACCAAAAGCCAATTAAAAGCCAACGGAAAACCCCCTGCCAGAGGGGCCCGGGGAGGAGATGAGCCAGTCAGGGTGCGATGGAACAACGATGAGAATTACAACTTTCCTCTAATTCCTAAATGTTTCCTCCCCGCTCCCACTACCATGACTCGAATTCAACCTTGCAAGTCTGGCTAGACCAGAGGATGTACACTGGTACAGATAGGAATTGAAAATACAGGGAATCCAGGGCGGATGAGCCCTATAGGACCAGTGGTGTGAGTGGCGAAACAGGGAGGGTAAAGGGAGAGTGGGT